ACAGCGTCCTCGACGTGTCTCGTGTCAAGATATTGCGAAATTCTCATTGGCGGCTTGTGATTCATCATCGACAAGATGATTACTTAATAAGTTGATTATCGACTGTTACGTCGTGTACGTAACTGGATCGATTGAGGAAAATTTTCTTGCGGTCGCGAGGCAATCGTAAAAGATCGCGCTCGCAAATTTTACATTCAAGAAAGAAAAACATTGTGGGAAAATATAAAATGAAAAAAACAATGCGGAACAGACCGTTGGGTGTAATGAAAATCAAGCTCGCGGCATCTGGCAAAATCGTTACTTTCACGGAATATCGCAGGCTGTGGCTCCCGTAATATATGGCAATAAAATTCCGACTTTATGCGGCGGCGCCGCGTCCTCGAGCATGTGCTGGACCGTGAAAAATCGCGTCTGTGCCAATCGGAATTGTGCACCGGGGACGAACAAGCAACCGGGATGAAAGGGCAAAGTAGTGTGGCGAATCAATTTAACGGAAATTTCGCGTGCTCCGAGTTTCAGACTTTCGTGCCAGTATGATGAATTTCTGCGCGGAAAGTCGCAAAGTTTTTTTTTTTGGAATATATCAAGAAATTTTTGCTTATTAGTTTTAATATGAAAAATATAATGTATAGCGTTATTGCCCTATTACGTTTGTAATTAGACTTCTGCATAATTTTCTCAATGTTCTTTTCTTATATTTGTTTCCGAAAAATATAAAATATAGATAATATCTCTCTAAAAAAGTTAATACTTGTACTTAATGTAGTAGCAATCAATAATTTTTCTTACTATATACGTATCCAATATAATTTACCTTTTTATATTTTTGATTTATAAATTAAAATTGATTATGCGGAATTATATGCCCGAAGGCTTCAATTATTCGCGCGGAAAGCTTTGATAATCTCATAGGATTCTATCTATTCTTCCTTATATACCTGATATCCTTGTCCCAAATCAATAATTTAAATAGAATAACGTTTTCAACCTCGTGCCTCGTAAGAATCATCTTTGTCGTCATCATTTTCGTCCTTCGGATATGCTTGCGTAAGGGATACGCTTTCCGGAATTAATACACAAAATTTACCAGCCTCTACGTGACACGCGGAGCGGACGTCATTCGCAATTAGTGCCCGTTAAAGAGACAAGGCGAAGGAACGGCGCCTAGAACGCCATAAAAACTAATGTAAAAACATGTACGTGTGTATTTTTTCTCGGAGAACCGCGATTACGCTATAATCATCGGCATTGCAGTAATTACACCACACACAACGAATCATACCGGGACTACCAACATGTATCTACTGTCGCGAGCTTCTCTTTTTGCAATCTCGTAACCGAACAAGATTAGAATATTTCGAAGAAGAATATTTTATTTCCTTTCGTGTTTATTTCTTATGTTATAAAATTTCTTTGCTTAGCTTTGCTTTATTAAAAAATAAGCAAAATAATATATTAATAGAATATAATTCCGCGTAAAATATTCTGACTTACGTATAAAGAACTGATTTTTTTTAGTAAACATTTAAAATAGAAGCACTATATATATAAATGCAAGTGCTTAAATGTGTATTAAATGAAGAATCCGTTCTCGCAAAACTTAATAAACGCATATTATTCTAACGGTATATAACGGTTGGAAATCGCTGGTTGTAAAGCAGCCGCTGTCTAAGTCTTAACAACTGCGGGAATCCAGGAAGAGAGCACGGTGCTACAAAACGATACATCAAGAAGAGCGATAATATTGAAGAATGTGTTTTACGCGTTTAATTTTAACCGGTCGAATTTTATTCTTGGCTAAATGGCGAAAATAGATAAACAAAATTTATAATTTCCAAGTAAATTGATAGTTAAAACTATTATTTTTATAAATGAGAGATATTAATTCGCTCTCGAGACGTTTAAGTTCTCGCGTGATTTAATTGAGAAACAAAATACTTCACTTTTCAACCGCTCTTTCTACAAAAACAAAAAAAATGTATTTATTTTATAGCTTTCCTTTATTTATAAAGCATTAAAAACAATTTGCTAAAGTTTTGTAATGTGACAGAAATCAAAGTAATAAGTAGGCGAAGAGTAAGGTCATCGATCTCGACTTGGATAAGCTATAACGTACCACCAAGATTCGTGAATAATTCACGATTTTAATCACATGTTAATTATTCACGAACGTATCGACCGCGAAAATCATTAAGTGAATAACGGATCTATCAGTTTGATATATTCGATAATACAGAATTATTTTAGAAATAGTGGAAAACCACCAACAACATTATCTTAATCAAATCAATGTCGAATATTATGTAAACGTTAGAGCTAAAAATAGAAATAGGGAATACCGTGTATATTTTATCGTAGATTTTAGACAATAAAAACGTCATGAATATGCGAAAGGTGATTTAAATGGCCACGATAATTGTAGAAATCATATATGAGGTATCCCAACCGTAACCTCGAGTATATAACAAGATTGAGCAAAGATTGAGCGCAAACAGTGCGGTCTAGAGAATGGTTAAAAAATGATGATTATATCACGTCGAAGTTGTAAGAATCAATAAGGATCTTGATAAATCATCTTCGGAGAAAGTTTTTATGAAATGAGTAAATTGTGAACACTAAATAAATATTCAATATAATAATTTTTTTTGGTATATTATTTTCTTAAATACGAATAAAAAATCTTCGCGCAATAAGATTAATTATAACTCAGTTTACATTCATATTTAATATTTTCTATAAAATCTATTTAATAGGCTTGATTTATATAAGTAATTGTTTGTTATCGCAAATATTACTCAATTTCATTAAAAGGGAAATGATCTAACAGTTAACACTAATAGATATAATCTCCGATAGAAAACTAAATTCGAATGACTCAAGTCTAATGATTCGTGGATCATTGGTTGAATCGATATTTCGGCGAAATAAGCAGAAAATTTTCAATGGGAATTTATCGGATGTATACGAGACGGAACTACATATAAACAGACGGTTTACATAATAGTGTCCGTACATTCATACGCACTGGCGCGTGTATCACACGCGTATACGACTCATCGAGCGTTCCTCGATGAGTCACAGCGACGAAGATAAAACATTTTACCTGGTGGCGCACAGTTAATCGAATTTGCAACGTATTCGCGACGCGTAAAATGATGCACGACCGTCCCGGCGTGACGCAAATCATAATAAATCCGCAACGAAAATTAATTCATACTTTACGAACAGCTAGCACGAGGAAGTCACGTTTATTTATCTCTTTGATAGCATTTAGTCAAGCAAATTAATGAGAACCTCTTGAATGAAAAACTCTAAACGCAGAAAATTTTAATTTCTTTTTTTCTTTTATATACAGTATAAAATAATTTTAGTTTGACAATTATATATCAATGAATATTCCAACAAATATTTTTTATTCTTATTTCAATAGTTCCGATAGCGGAAATTAATAGAATTTCTATATCCCTTTAGGGTCAAGAAAAAAATTAATCGCGCACTTTCAGCCATTTAGGCATGTCGGGCACGTGCAAGATTCATTTACTTTCATTGAGAGAAGCTTTGCTGCGAATGAGAGAAAAACATATACGTTAATACTGACGACACAAAATTTGCCGAGGGAGATCTGTCAGGTCACGTTAAAAAGAAGAAGTTATGTCGCCGATAATTTCACGTTTAATAGTCGGAAAGACTATTAAATGCACCAACAGGTTGAATCACTTAATAAAATCTGAATCCTGTATTCCATCCTAAATCGAGAGATTCTGAAGTAGCGAAGTAATATGCTCATAGAAAAATAGCAGCGCTTTTAAAGCATAACATGTTTGCAAGAAAAGCTTTGTGCATTCCATTTAACAATTTTCTCGATTGCAAATCTATGATAAAAATCTTTCCGTTTTTTGAATCAGTTATTCATCGCGAATTGAAAGATAAATGTCAATTGACTCTTTTAAATGTATTCAAGGTTGTCCCATAGCCTGTGTAGCTTTGCCATTGTACTTCCGCTTGATATATTGAGTGATCCCAAATGAATGCTTTTAAAACACAAACGTGACACGTCATGCCGGCATACGACATGTGCAGGTGCGTCCACAGTCACCAGTAGTAAGTAAGGACAATCGCATGTATAGAAAATGCAATCATTTTTCAAAAAGTACTCCGTGAGCGTTGAATTGTTGCGTGAAAAAAAAACCGATAAACAAAGCCCTAACAAATATTTCAAGATTCGTGGTTACAATCAATGATGATTCAATACAAGGTATGATAATCGCTGTGCTACGTTGTTAGAAGCTTCGTAACTAGTATCTAATCAGTAGTTTCAATCGTGACTAGAAAATGGCATGAAAAGATTCCTTTCGAAAAGTCGTAACATGCATTTTCAATTTTTTCGTACTTTACTATTTCTCTATAATCGTTTGATATAGTAAATTGCTTGAATGTCCGAGATAATCAAGGAACGTTACGCTAAATAATTAATTCTATATAAATTAGCATAATATACAGTGGCTACGAAGTAATAATAGGAAGTTTCAGTCTATTGCGAAAATCCTGCTGAACATTCGCAGTTAAAGGGTACACTCGCTCAAGGCGTGATCCCAATGGGTCAGCAACACGAGCCACATTACGAATCTGTTCTCGAAGATCTCCTCGACGAACCGAGCATGAGGTACCGGGTGTAGACATCGTGGTCCGGAACAGAAAGGAGCGAAGAAATCGGCGAGCAAGCCAAGATCAAGCAGAAGCGAGCAAGAACGAGAGAGAGAGAGAGAGAGAGAGAGGCAGAAATCCGAGAAGCGGTGTAGGAGGAAGAAAAAGAGAGGAGGAGGTGCAGAACAAGGAGGGAGATAAGGTAGGTAGAGTCCAAGAAGGGCGGCGAAGAGAAGAGAAGACTAAAAGAGAGGCCCCTCCCGGTGGCTCGATCGGCGAGGAGGGTCGGGGCCCCCTTGCACGATCCTGGCCGTCAGCACGGGTGGGTAAATGGGTATATAAGCGGGGCCCCGGCGATTCCATCTCGACACACGACCCAACCTTCATCCCGATCGCCAACGGTCCTTTGCAATCGAGCGTAATCGCACGCGCGCGAATAAAAGAAAGGGAAGACAGGGAAAGAGAGACAGGGACAAGAACCTCCCCCGCGTTCTTTCGTTCTCCGATCGATCGCGCCCGATCTTAGTTCGCGCGAACCGGTGAGAGCCGATCTGCGAGGTAGAAGCAAGAGAAGCCGAAGAGGACATCACTGTGCCCGACGTCGACTCGACCAAGAGTTCCACGTTTACGGAGGAGAGAAAAAGACGTGAGTACACAGTTTTTCGCTTTACAAAGTTTTGTCACCCTTCGAATTCCGTTTCGCGACGAAAACTTACCCGACTCGACATTTCGATCGATCGATCGATCAAAATACGGATTTCTTTGACGATCTTAGACATTAACATCGCGCGAATCCTTCCCTTCGCGAATACTCCCCTTCATTAGTTGATAACGTAATTATATTAAGTAAATCTCTTTTCACTCCTGATATGTAATCGATTTATTATTATCTTTTGAATCCTATACGAAGCAAATCTCCCTCCGTAGCTCAGCTCCGAAACGAATTACGTGACAGATTCTACTGAGCGTTGATAATCGAAACCGGTCGATGAAATCTTGAGTCGCAGTGACATATGCGGTCGACAGACGCGGTTGGTTGAACTCGGCATGATTATTAACCTCGCGTTTGTGCGCAGGAGACTTTTCTCAAAGCTCGCAGCTAGCTACATTTTCTTTCGCAATACGCGTAGGACTCGGTGCGCCGAGTCGCGGCTTCGCAGCGACGGCGACAGATAGTTTTGAAAGTGGAGCGCGATAATGCTATTGTTCGCCATCCGCGCTTGTATCCGTTCGTTTCAATTAGTCGGGGCGCGGCAAAAGCGGATTTTCGAAACAGCGAACGACGGTAAATGCCACGATAAACGCCCTCCCCTTAGTTATAAAAAAAATTGCAATTCGCTCACAATTAAGCTGTCATTGACTTAAAAAATCATATAAAAGTCTCTCTTCTTTATTTTAAGTTTAATCCCGATAGGAGAGAAATTACAGAAACCAAAAAGAATCGAAATAAAAAGTAAAAATTTACATTAATTGCTATTAAATATATTGTATTATCCTCATATTGTTCCTTATAATAACCATTAGTTTCCAATATTCCATGTTCGAACATATCTAACGTATGAGCAAGTTTGTTTTTTATTTATTTTGTATCAACTCTTGCGACATGCACATACACGTATAAGAGTGTCTTTTTATTTTAAGTTAGAAATGCATTGTAATTACACATATACATTATCTAAATTTCATTACAAATATCTCGCTGGATGTGCGTCGCAGCTAAAAGGTTAAATAAAGAGAAATTAAGAGGTCAAAGTAAGGAAACGCGAGTCGCTCGCGTGCAGGCCACGCTCCGTCGTCGTTATAAACATAATTTGTAGATTTCTCAAGGAGCAACCGCGCGCGTTTGCGTAATTTCCCCCTTCCGCGGCGCGCTCCTTCCCGACCCCTAATTAGCCGGCCTAATCTGTCAATCTGCGAATTACCTGCGCCGCGACGTCGACTCGAGGTCGCCAACCGGCGCGGCGACCGTCTTCCCCCGGCAACTTCGCAATCGACGAACGCCGAACGTGTGCCGAATCTTTAATCGGAATCAACAGAATCCTCCCCGCGCCGGGACGAAGCAGATTCACACGAGCTTGAATCAGATAGGAACAGATTTCGTGACTCTCGTTTAAGCGAGCAAAAGTCGCGCGATTGCAAATTGAACGGAGGAGTTTCGCGGCTTCGGATTAGACGAGCGGACGCCGCTCTTTCAACACGCCGCAATCAGGGGAGACCGCGAAGCTGAAAGGCTAGGAGAAAGAAAGAGAAAGAGAGAAAGAGAGAGAGAGAGAGAGAGAGAGAGAGAGAGAAAAGAGCAAAGGGCTATAATCATTGACGGTGGAGCACTTGATGGCGCGCTCGCGCGCGCGACACTTCTTTGTAAGTGTGGTACCATTACACTTCTGATGATCTTGATGAGGTAATCGGCGTCCATCATCTTTCACAGGCATTTCCTGCGTCTATCGACCTGGCCGCCGAGCACTTATCTGTATTCGCGGTGCGATCAACGCGCGTCATCCTCCTCGTCGAAATTTCATCGCTTCCTTCTCTCCCTTTTTCTTCGCTTTTCCATTTTTCCCCGCCTTCCGAGCATTGCGTGGAGAACGGAAGATTGCATCGACAGCGAGAGATCGACAAACACGCGTCCGTCGTTCGTTCTCGCGTAACCGCCGTGTAAGGAAATAATTAACGGACACGTCCGTGTGATGTACGGACAATAAGTCGACGGCTACGGTACTTGAATGTACTCGCAATTAAGCTTATTGCGACTACGCACCGCGCCGCCGTGCATCCGGTGTAATTATATCCGCAATGGACTTAATTCCATGCAAATATTTGGAGACTTAAAACTTCAGCTGCCCGCGTCATAAGAATCTCACAGATTCTTTATAATTTATCTATCGATACGAGGCGACTCTCGGTTACGGTAATTATCATAGAGATCAGAATCAGCTTACGCAATTATATATAAAAAGAGGTTCTTGTTTGCGATACGAACAACTCCCGTTCTCACGCGCAACGCGATTCTCGACAAAAGTGAGGGGGGAGCTTGATTTCTGTCACTTTCTATCGCGGCACAACGCGGTTTCGGCTATACTGCCGATATTACGACGAAAACACAGTCGATTTCGGCAAGAACGTAATAGTTGCGACCGTTCACCGGCTGCAATTGCATTGCCAAACGCGAACCCCCCTCGATCTCGCCATAAAAACTGGAACCCTTTGCCGCCTCCCGCCTCGTTCACTATTCTCCGCAACTACGCCTCGTTGTTTCCGTCTTTGTCGCCACTTCTCGCCATCCCTCTCGACTCTCCAGTGTATTCCGGTTTCCACGACGAGCGCAGCCCCCGCTCTCGAGAAGCGATTTGAATCGTTATTCCGTGCGCGACTTGAGAATAATTTTATGCCTCGCGACTTTTCAAGTTATAGTTAATTAAATGCAGAATTATAATACTTCTTCTACGACTCGCGTATTTTCAATTCGCATATCGTCGAGAACTTGTTCCAAGATTATCATAATTTCATAATTTTTAATCGACACTATAGGAGGCTCGTAATTGGACGTAAAATTAAAGTTGAGCGTGATTTTTTTACAATAACTTTTTCATCATTGAGTTCATTGATGAATTGCTTAATTGACGATAACAACGCGCAAGGCAGGCCAGACTGGAAAAGCGTTTATCGCAGTGACTGCGCTTAACTCGAGCGTTAATGCACGCCGATCCGGCCGCACCAACTCGATGACGCGTAAATACCGCGTCGTTTGTCTCCGATTTCACGTACGCCTACTCGCGAATGCAGAATGGTCTCGTGTTTCGCTCGCGGTAATGTATTTTGCGACGCAAAGATCACAAAGTAAAATTTACGATGTAAATTGATTATCTATATGCTTCACACAACAAAAAAAGCGCGAACGTTCCAATCTATCAATCTAAAATCCGATATTGGAAATAAATCTACGCGTTTTGCCCTTTATGAACGCAGATCCATTAAAGTAGAAATCTGCTCAAAATTAAAAGGGTTAATCTCGATAAGATCTATATTTTTAATCGCTCGTAACGCAAAAACTCGCGATTTCTGAACTAAATTTCTATCCGTCCTTAACGCCTCATTCATCGCGCGTACAATGAAAACTCGTGTGAGACGTTACGACGTATTCTTCTCTGCGTTTTACGGAGAGAAGAATTGAACGTAAACGTGAGCGCGTAACGAGCGTGAGGGGCACGCATCCTGTCATTAGTTCCATAACGTTCACCTTATTCGATGCATTCGGTTCAATGTCACCCGTCCCTCTCCTTCCTGCCGATTCTCTCGCGGCAGCCCTGATGTGATCCACCCAGCGCGACGGTTACCGTTTCTCCCCCTCATTAACAATCATAGCTGTTGTCCTTTCGTCTCGCGATCTACAACCGGGTCCATTCATATATGTACGTCTCGGCCATTCATGCCGAGCTGTCACGCCGATAGCCTGTCCTCACGTCCAATCGCCTAACTAGAAGATTGCGCGTCTCAATGTCTTCTCGGTGTAGATCCGAGCGAGTTTTGTTAGATATAAAAGGATAACAATTATAAAATTCATGAGAGAGATTATTTTTAATCTCAATTGTAATACATATATTAAATTGCCCAACGTTATAATCAGCAATAATTTTCATAATAGTCATAGAGTTAATTAAGAAAGTAAAATCTTAAGATTTCGTGATTGTTGCAATCACAAAAGGATGATTATCGCGCGATAATTATATCTGCGAATATTTCAAGCCACCCCGTAAATAATTTCCCTGCCATTCCCGACGACTTAATTAAGTTAAGATTAATGTAATGTTTTGGCAACAAGCGTGTCTAATATCGAGCGTCCTTTTGCAGATATCAAAATGCTAAAATTCGCTGTGGTGACGATGGTATGCCTCTTGGGGCTGAAGATGATCGCTGCGATGCCAGTGGCCGATCACCACGAGGGCCATGAGCCGCTACCAGTTGTACCTCTCGAGGAGAAGACTGCGGTAGAGTCTCTGAAGGCGGCGGAGACGGCTTCGGGAGCCGTGCAGAGCAACGCAGCCGCGGCACCTGTGGCGGCTAGCCAGCCAGCACAGCCAGTGGCCGAGCAACCCGCTGCGGTTGATGCGCCTGCTGTGAGAAGCAGCGAATCTAGCGAGGAAGCTCAGCCGGGCGAGCCGAAGAAGGACGAACCGCTGCAGCCGCAGCAGCCGAAACCGGCGTCCGAGGAAGCTCAAGCGCAGCCCAAGTCCTCTGAGGAACAACTCGAGGAGAAGGAAGAGCCGAAGGTATTGCCCACCGCCGAAGCCGAGAAGAAACAAGAACAAGAACCCCTCAAGGAAGCGGCATCCGAAACGAAGGAGTCCGTGCAGCCCGCGCCGCAAGAACAACCGGCCGAAGTCCTGGCCGAGAAGAAAGTAGGTTTCTCGTTATCCTGATTAAAATCATTTTCTTTCATACCATATATTCTTAAGTTAAAAACTTCATTCTCTAATCTTGCATGTTTTTCAGGAGGAACAGGTAGCCGTCGAAGGCAAGAGCGCGGAAGCGGCCGCACCCGCGGCCGAGAAGCCCGTGGCCATCGAGAAGCGCGCTGACGATTCCGCCGAGAAGATCGCTAAGGAAGAGCCGAAAGAGGAGAAGAAGCTAGAGGAGCCGGTAGCACAGCCAGCCCCGAAGAAAGAAGAGTCAGCGGAAATTCCTGCCGTTTCCGAGGAGAAAAAAGTTGAATTGAAGGCCGAACAAGTAAATCTGCCGAAAGAATCTGAGGTCACTCACTCGCTCGCCCACGCCAAGGTCGAGGACAAGCCCGACCGCGTAACCCGCGACGCTGAAGAATCCGCCGCGCCTGCCCCCGCCGCCGCCGCCGCTGCCGCCGCAGCTGCAGCCCCCGCTGAAGCTCCCGCTGCTCAGGAACCGGCTCAGCCGCAGGAAAAATCTGCGTCTGTCGCCAAGGCCGAGCAGACCGTAGCGGAAGTAGCTGCGCCGGTGGAGGAGCCGAAACCCGTCGAGAAGAGCGAGCAGGTTGAGAAGAGCGAACAGCTGGAGACGGCACTCGCCGAGCAGTCGGCTGTCAAAGTCGAGGAGCCGATCAAGAGCGAGGAGAAGGTAGTTGTCGAAAAGGAGATTGAAAAAGAAGCAAAAAGTGCCGATTCTCCTGTCCAGCAAGCGGAGGCGGCCAAGGAGCAACAGCCCGTGCAGCCTCAGGAATCCAGCCAGATTAAACGGGATACAGCGGAAGCTGAACAGGTAGCCGAGCTGCCTCAGGCCAAGTCGGAACTTCCGGTCGCAGAAGAGCAGCAGGCCCAGAAACCACAGCAACCACAGCAGCCACTGCAATCACAGCAGCAGCAGGAAGTCGCCAAAGTGAAGGAACGCTCTAATGACTCCTCCGAAGAAAAATCCGCCGACGACAGCAAGGAGAAGAAGAGCAGCGAAGAAGACAAGTCTTCCGAGGAGCAGAAGGACGCCAAGCCTAAGCTCGCGGGAGAATTGCTCCCGAAACCCGAGCAGTAAATCTCGGTGCGGGGAGGGTTTGATTGATGAGTAACTTCAGCAGCGCGGCAGCAACAGCAGCAGCAGCATCATCTCAAGAAGAAGAAGGAAGAAGAGGATTGCTCCTCTTAAGGATCGGGACGAGCTCAGGCATCGGCGTCTCTAGGTGCCACCGGGACGTGGGCATGAGTTCGTCGCGAGACAACAGGAGCGGAAGCGAGAGAGAAAGAATGTGTGTGTGTGTGTATATGTGCGCGTGCGTATGTGTGAGAGAGCGAGAATGCGAATACGAGAATGCCAGAGTAGGCAGCACACTCTCAGCGACGAATCCGGAAAGTGTGAAAGTACCGCACAGGGTGAATGAGAGAGAGAGAAAGAGAAAAAATAAAGAGAGCGAAAGAAAGAGAGAGAGAGAGAGCGCGAAAGAGCGACCCCATCGACCCCATCGATCTTTCTATAGGGTAGAGTTGTCCGTTCTTCGACAGCGCACTACGATCTCGGTAGCGCATCTCCGGGAGCGCGGGACGATCGCGTGTTACCGGATGCCGTGATACCGGGCGAACGACACCGCGTATCGTATATCTTCGATACGCGGCGATCGACGCCCGCGATCCGGCGTTCCGGCAGACGGCAGACGGAGAACACGCGGCGATCCATCACGGGGATGCGGCTCGGCTTCTAGCTCCGAGCGGCATTCCCGTTCGTCCCGGCGGACATCGCGATCTGTCCGCGGGGACGAACTCTGCCCTCCCCTCCGCCCGATTAATATCTCTCATCCCCCCCTTTATGGAACCCCCCTGTGTCCCATCCGAGAATGACACACCACTACAACACCTGATAAACTTATCCCGATAAACTATGTAGTAAGTAGCTCGACTCTCTCTGTCTTCTTTTTAGAGATAACATGTGTCATTATTATTATTATTATTACGATTTAGTACCAGTACCACTATTATTATTAATATTATTATTTGTATTATTGCTATCATCATCGTTATAATAATAATTATTATTATTACTGTGAATCCCCCGTCGGTCTCGTGTTACTACCAACCGCCCATTTTTATAGATCGCTGGTGTTCGTGTTCACGAGTCGCGAGGTCGAGTTTCATCGTTTTCAGAACTTAACAACATATATAGAAGTGTAAAAGTATAGAATCCAGATTTTATATAATGGTAATAACCACGAGACTCTACTCGGTTCTTACATAAACGGAGATATTTTTCGAACGATATCGTTGAAGCGAGAATAGACTTCCGAGATCCATGTCCCGTACGTAATTTTCTTCCAATACGTAATACCTTCCGATATATTCTCAATACATGTGTAAAATTTCAAACAAATCGCTCGTCTTTTCAAAGTCTAGATTAGTCATTGTGTAAGGCGCTTTCGAGTTGCAGCGCGAAGCGCAATTTCGCTCGGCGAGCGTTATACGATCGCACGAAGCAGTCGTCGAGTATCTGCAAGCTGTCCGGAAAACGGACGCGCTCGGTGAACGATACATTCGCGAAAAATTACGGCGCGGACACAAGAGGCACATCGCTGCGTGAAATCGCTCGCTGGTAAATCACGCGATATGCGGAGATTCGCGTTATGGCGTTAGATCGTTCGTGATGAACCGCGATTTGTCAATCACAACTTCGCGCTTCAGCATCGCAGAAACAACGGGGATCAACGCCGTGGTTGTAATAAGTTAACGAGTGACTCACGAAGTAGCACTTAGCCGTTCTCGACAGCGTGCCTAGAGTACGTACGTACGTGCCGTGTCAGATACGATAATCGGGGGCTTCCGCCAAGCTGATAAACATCTTCGCACTTCTCTAACACGAAATAACAAGGCACAACGAGCGCGCACCGGCAGCGAATTGAGTAAATGATAATACCCCCTTAATTCACGACCCTTAACCCTTTACCGTACCCACTTTACCCACAAATCGTTTACGTTACGCAATAAGATCAAATAAAACGTGTCTCTCATTGCATTTCAGGATCGTAGATGTTTCATCGAAAATTTCACTCTGCTAAGGTAACGGGATTTTACGTTTTTCATTATCGAATAACACATTTACAAAAAGAATTAAAAAAGAATTATCAATTGCATTTAGGCATAGAATTATTAATTATGGAAAATTTATCGATATTTGTAGGGAAATTTTGATCGATAGCATAGAAACGTCTGGTTTTCTTTCAAATAAATAAAAAAATGATCATATACAAATGAAAATGCAATTAAAAAGAAGATATGTGTATATCGTATTTATATCTTCAGAGATATATTATAGTTCATCGCGAACAATTTAAATATCTAGTTCCGAGCTGAAGAACTGCCTGAATTCTCATTATTAATTACGCATATTAATTTACGCATAAGATTATTAATTGTGGAAAGCTTATCGATTTTTCTAGGTAAGTTTTAATAGATAAATTGATAATACAGAAACGTCTTTCTCTCGGATAAATAAAAAATTATTATATGCATATCGCAAATAAAGATGCAATTAGAAGGGAAGATATGTACGCCGTATCTTATAATATCTTCAGAGATAAATTATCGTTCATCGTTCACAATTTAAGTATCTGGCTCCGAGCTAAAAAGAACCACCCGGATTCCCATAATGCATATAGAAAGTGCAATAAATCCTACCAAGAATCAGTCTACCAAGGGTGCGATAAACTGTTACTAAGAGTCGATCCATGGATTTACGGCGTCATAGCCGATACCTTTCTATTCTCGCGCAAATGCAACTCCATAACCAATCGGTTACCCACGGAGAATGCACTTGCATAAGAGCCCTCATCGGTCGCGCAATTGTTCGCGAATGTCGCATCGGCGAGCCGACATTTCCCCTTGATGCATCGATTCGTCAAAAGGGCGAGCGAGCAGCTCTATCGCACGGCGGTGCACTGGCAAAGATAGGCATAAACAAGACTGCGGTGCATAAGGTGAATGCATCCGGCGAAATGTCAAGGCGTGAAAGAAAGAGAAAGAGAGAGACCGAAAGAATTTTGCAACTCGCCACACGGAGATTGTTTCGTTTTGGTATATCACCCTGCACTCTCGCCGTTCAATACTAAATGCCTCCGTAATTAATAAACAAGCTACATGTGCATTAAGTGGAAAAGAAATCAATTTGACTATCTAACGGTATTTAGAAGCATCCACTTTCCTTTCTCGCTCTTCAGAGCTAGATTATTCGTCGTAAAATAATAAATCATTGCAGCTATCGTTAACAAATTTTTATTGAAGAAAGTCCGCGTAGGATTAAATGTAGAATTGACTTGTGCAATCCGGGTTTCGTTCTTTTTTTTCTTTAAAATTTAAAACTTAATTTTCTAATTAATTTACGAAGATAATTTCACGAAAAGCTGGTGATAACGG